GAAACTTAAACTCGCACACATGCATCCAATATTCTATCACTTCAAACCACAACAAAAGCAAGAACACAAAAAAATCCTCCCCCAAACTTAAAATTAACATTGTCCTCAATGTAAAAAAATTAAATAAGAGAAGAAAGACAATACTCCCCTATCTTGCTCTTCCTGTTGTAGACATGCAATGTGTTCCTCTAGAGCCAAAAGTTCTTGTTATAGTTGTCTAAACTGCTGCAAAAAGGGTAATAAAAAGCTAACCCAGCCAAAATTAGAAAAAAGAAAATGAATAAAAGAATTGAATAAAAAGAAAATGTCAAAGAACAAACTTAAAAAAAAATGAATAAAAGAATTAAATAACTCAATGTAAAACAGAAAAATATCAAATAACAATTTTTTTTTTCGATGGGTTGCCTCCCATTAAGCGCTTCTTTACAATCATTAGCTTGACTATCACTGCAAAATGATCAAGGGTCTTTCAATAAAATGGTGGAATTAAATGCTGGAAAATTACCACCTTCAACATAAATTTTCAACCTTTGGCCATTTACCTTAAACGTTCCCTTAGTATCATGTGAAATTTCAACAACTCCATAAGGGGAAACCTTAGTCACCACAAAAGGACCACTGAATCGGGATTTCAACTTACTTGGAAAGAGTCGCAGTCGAGAATTGAAAAGAAGAACCTTGTCACCCACATGAAACTCTTTCTTGTGCACATGTAGATCTTGGCATTCTCATAGGCAGCAAGTCGTAATTCCTCCAATACTTTCAACTGCAATTTTCTATGTTCACCTGCATCTTTCAAATCAAAATTCAAGTATTTAATAGCCCAATATGCCTTATGCTCAAGTTCCACAGGAAAATGACAAGCCTTACCAAAAACCAACCTATAAGGAGACATACCTATTGGAGTTTTGTAAGCTATCCTATAAGCCCAAAGTGCATCATCTAATTTGAGTGACCAACCTTTCCTAGACAAGTTAACTGTTTTTTCCAAAATTCTTTTCAATTCCCTATTAGACACCTCAACTTGTCCACTTGTTTGAGGGTGATATGGAGTAGCAATTTTATGGGTAACACCATATTTAGCCAATAAATTTTCAAATTGCCTATTACAGAAGTGTTTACCTCCATCACTAATAACAGCCCTAAGTGTGCCAAATCTAGTGAAAATATTACTCTTCAAAAATTTAACCACCACACCCTAGCATCATTAATAGGACATGCAACAGCCTCTACCCATTTACTCACATAATCTACCGCAACAAAAATATATGCTTTGCCAAAAGATGAAGGAAAAGGACCCATGAAATCTATGCCCCAAACATCAAATATGTCACACACCAAAATATTAGTCAAAGGCATTTCATGTCTCCTAGAAATATTACCAGTTCTTTGGCATTGGTCACA